TCAATAATTTTGCTTAATCATAACTGACTTGTTCCTTCATTTGCTGTACTGGAGGAACCAACTCTACAGAGTGATAATAAAGCAAACTTGTTCAATAAAGATGCAGAATTCACTTCCTAGAGCGCTGGCCTTTGAAGGATACATTGAAATAATGGTTCTGCAAACATGAGATAGGCCTCCCTGGTGAGAATGTCATTCTACCTCCCACCTGCAATCTCGCTTTTCTTTGCTCGGGCCAGAAAGAAGAATGGAAATAGGTAACGAAAATACTGGATAGCAGCTTAAAAGCACATTGTGTGGTAATTTTCCTTACCTGGAGAGGTAAAGCGATTGTCTATAGTCTCTAGCTATATGACAAATAAGGATTGCCCCCTTATGCTGCAGCTTGACCATCTAGGAAAGTGGGACCATGATGGATATTGCCTGACTATTTGGCCAGCAGCTCTCCACATGGTTAGAAGTATCACATGGCACCACATGGCTAATGCTTATGGGCTTCCAGTGCAATGTTGTACATTCTAGCCTGTGGGCCGTCTTAAGTATATCCTGCGCCATGGTGCAAAGATCCCTCCATTTCCCAGAGTTGCCAACCTTTTTACAGCGCTGCCGGCAGCTTTGCGGGGCTGGAGGAGGTGGGCAGCGGCTGGAGAGCGGCTCCTCCGGCGGGGAAGAGGCGGAGGCTCTGGGCACAGTGCTGCTTCAGTGAGGCGGGTGAGGGAGGTGAGCTGATGCCAGGAGGCGCCGCGTTCAGCCTCTGCCTCTTCCCTAGTGCCCTCCAGTACTTGACACCCTGGCGCCCCGCGCCACTTGCCTCTGTGGGCAAGACGCCCCTGATAGCACTTGGAACTCTTGTGCTGATCTCAGAAGAGCTGAACATCAAATGTACAACACTCTGGGATTTTCATTTATTTTTTACTTGCAAGGTTGTTTATATTGAGCCCTTTCCCTAGGGAATTTAGCTCAAGTAGTTGGACTTGTGACCAATTACTCCCCTTTCTTTGTGAACTGCTTATTTAATAATTACCTGGAATTGTTTTCAGGGTGAATTCATTCAGGAGAATTCATTCTGGGTTTCTCCCCCCCCCCCCAAATATCATGATCATTATTACCATTATCATTACTATTAATAATAATGATTATACCACACCTTTCCTCTCACAAGAACCCAAGTAATTGGGCAAAAATGAGGTCTGCAGTGACACAATTATCTACATGAAATAGTCTGTATATGCAGAGAAGATTATTTGCATGTAGTTTGAATTTCTTTACATATATGTGCACAGTGGGAAGTTGCTCTCTCACAAGTAGGTGTGTTGCTACATACATAAAATGTAGTGCTAGAAAATGTATAGTTGAATCAGTATACTAAAAATTGTGCACATGTGCTTTAAGATAAGATAGAGATATATTTCACATGCTAATGTATTCCATCAGTGTTTCATCAACTTCAGAATTTTAATTCAGCTATATACTTAAATGGAAGGCCACGCTTTTAGTTCTACTGCTGTATTCTAGCATCTTCTTTCCCAGTCACTGCGCTACTGCAAAAAGTTTTTTTCCTTTTATGCTTAGACTTACCTATCTCTTAGAGTGGAAATGATGTTTTTGTTTACATGCTGTAATAGATAGATAGTTGAAGGTCAAGTAGCTAAAAATAAAAACAATCTCCTGTGCAACAGAGAGAATCATTACTGCTTTGTTAGCCAACAGGATTTGAGTGAGAATTTTAGAGTCAGACTACACATTATTCAGAGTGAGATGGTTGACTGAGGTAATCAAATTGGGAACTTTGCCACTCCGTCTGCAGATATGGTGTTATATTTTAAAACGCCCCCCACGTAAAAGTGGGGAGAAACCCTCACTGTACGTTGCAAAACAGGAACGTGAGGAGGGAGTTTTCATGCAGCCCTTTCCCCTGTGAACTTGTTTAGTACATGCACATAACTTATTTACATGGGAGAAATGTTCAGATATAAGACCCCCCGCCAAAAAAACCCCTGCAGTTTGAAGTGGTAAAGTTCAACATCTGAAGGAACATCTCCAACCCCACTAATGTTCAGTTCTAAGGTCCTTCTGACATTTTGCTCATTGCGAGAAGTGAACTTACGGAGAACCAGGCAGAGGGCCTCCCATCAGATGTCAAAGAGATAAACAATTATACGAGTTTCTGCAGACTTCTGAAGGCAGCCCCGTATCAATAAGTTTTAAATCAGCCATAGGCAAACTCGGCTCGCCAGATGTTTTGGGACTACAATTCCCATCATCCCTTACCACTGGTCCTGTTAGCTAGGGATGATGGGAGTTGTAGTCCCAAAACATCTGGCAGGCCGAGTTTGCCTATGCCTGTTTTAAATGTTTGATGTTTCACTATGCTTTTTGCATTCTGTTGGAAGCCACCCAGAGTGGCTGGAGCAACCCAAACAGATGGATGTGGTATAAGTAATAAATTATCAGCATTATTATTATTTATAATTCCAACTACTAACTCCTGCTGGATCAGACCAAAGGACCAATTATGTTTTTTTGCCAAATCTTTTTGTATTTATTTTCACTAATTGAAACATACTAAAACAAATTTAAGGGCCATCTATTCCAGCATCCAGTGGCCAATGAGATGCTTATGGGAAGTCCTGAAGGAAGACCAAAGTACAACAGCACTTTCCCCACTTATAAATCCCTTAAGCCAGGCCTAAATGATGGTGTATTAATGCACTCTCCTGGAGCTTTTTATAACTAAGACCTTGGCATTCCAGGAAACACGTTCTTAATTTTTCATCAGCAGGCTTTGCTAAAAGAGAATACTCACAGCTACCACGAAATGGATGGAGTTTCTGGGATTTGAAATGCAATGCACTTTAACATTATTTTAAAAGCGGGTGGGCGTGGGCAAAGAATGCGATGTGGATGAATACCCTCTGAATGAGTAAAAATGAATGGCAGAAACATTATTAATTTTCGAGTGTTGTATCAAGTGCCCTTCACGTAAATGAATTTAATGTCATCAATTGTTATCGGCAGCGTGTGGGCTGAGATGCGTATTACATTTATGTTAGGATTTGGCTGCATGAAGTGGGCTTATGAATTGCAGTCGAAATGGTCACAGGTTGGCATGCATGCATTAACATATTGCCTTTACATTTATTATATACCCCGTATTGAGGTTAAGGAAGATTGTACATGGTACATGGTAACCTTCCAATCAGCAAGCCCTAGAGGCTCAGTGCTTTAGACCAGTGTTCCCCAACCTTGGGCCTCCAGCTGTTTTGGGACTACAACTCCCATCATCCCTCGCTAGCAAGACCAGTGGTCAAGGATGGTGGGAGTTGTAGTCCAAAAACAGCTGGAGGCCCAAGGTTGGGGAACTCTGCTTTAGACCACAGCGCCTAACCGTTGACATGGTAACGTACATATTTATCAGCAAAATAAAAATAAAAATTGTCAGGTCCATATCACAAGAAGCTTACACTCTAAAGGGGGGGGGACTGCAGATGGAAGGGAGAGAAAAGTAACAGTAAGAAGGGATGCTATCCTTCAACGCTGGGCCTTAACAATGTATTTACTTTGGAATCCCTGTTCTTCTTTATCTTTAAAACAAAAAAAATTCCTTCCAGTAGCACCTTAAAGACCAACTAAGTTAGTTCTTGGTATGAGCTTTCGTGTGCATGCACACTTCTTCAGATACACTGAAACAGAAGTTGCCAGATCCTTCTATATAGTGAGAAGGTGGGGAGGGGTATTACTCAGAAGGGTGGTGGGAATGGGTGATTGGCAGATAGCTGTGATGAGCCAGTTGACGACTCTTAACGACTGCAATAGGTCTTACAGGAAAAAGCAAGGGGTGAGAAGGTCTTTATCTTTGTAAAGGGGAAGGGAGGAAAACATGTTTTTGAAAGGTGTGCAAATCTGTATTTTCAAATTTTTGGCAAGGAAGCTATTTCTAATGAGACTCCTCTATCCTCCCACTCGCCCACAATGTTTGTCATGCTGTTCGTGTTGAGAGGAGATCTGTGCACAGATTGGATCCATTACTGTGCTGTTGATGATACTCAGGTTCTCAGTTCTTCCTTGACAGTCCTGTCTGTCTCCTGCGAATGCTTGTGGAAGTAACACATGTGCACTGAGCAGAGAAAGAATCCTTCTGTTCACACTTTTCCTTCCATTTTATAAATGCTCCTGAATTAACAGCGCACACATTATGTGACAACATGCGATTCTGTACTTTTCAAACCCAACTTGCTGCTCTGGCAGAAAAATGCAAAATCTGGGGTGCTAATGACAGACAGTGTCCTGGAGATTAAAACGTTCCCTAAGTCTGCAATTATGTCAATTGTTAGCTCAATGTAAAGAGACACGTTTCTCCATATCCTTTTTAAACAATGTCATAGCAGAGCACAGAGCAATTTATTTCAGTCTCTGAACCTAGAAATGTGAAGTCATCAGCTGGTAATATCTGGCCATTTAATAACCATCTGGATGGATTTTAAATCAATTGGCAAATCAATACAATGTGACAACTTTGATCTCCCCTCCCCAATTTCCCAACTGTTGGATAATTGTTTGTTTAAAGAAAATACTACTGGACCCTTCCCCTGGCACAGTTCACCAATTCAGTGTATTATGAAAAGTTCTGTAGAAGACCCCCATCAACTTTGTCTTTCCCTTTCAATCTGTATAAGCCTTTATTAACTTGCAGCATTGCTGGAGGTCATGATAACTGGAAAAGTCAATTAATATATTGTTTACTGGCTTGCTTTCTTATTATTCAGTCACTGCAAACAGACTGCACAGGCTGATCATTCAAATTCACCTTGCCATGCACACAACAGCAAAATATATTTATAGCAATAACAGCAGCATTTGAACAGATGCTACATATTGTTACCAACATCAGCAGCCTCAACTGTTGCACTAAATGCCTCCATTTTTAAAAAAAAAAGTGCTGACAAATTCAAAGCAAAACAAAATAGATTTTTTATTGATATGTTTTACTTTGCTGGCAGACCAGAGCAAAGGTTTTCTGAACATTTAAAAGATGAAAAAGGTGAAGATTCCCAGAAGCGATTTATCTTGAAGCGAGATAACTCTAGTATTGATAAAGAAGACAATCAGGTTGGTTCTCGGTTTCGAGAGTTGCTGAAATTCATTTTTTTTTATTTCCTTTTTTTCTTTTTTGAAAGTGGGCTGACTGGTGTTCTTGATGTTCCTTTGTTGTTGTTTATGCTGCTGCTGCTGCTGCTACTGCTGCTTTTCCTTCCTGCTCATCTTCCTCTCCTGCTCCCCTGTTTTTGGCACACAGTGGAATAGCATCGGCCATAAGTGTGTTTGCTTCAGCAGTGGCAGTTTGCATGGGCAGTTTTGCTTGGCACAGGACATGCTGCATGCTGAGGAGTGATTTGGAATGTTCCAAAGGCCCCCTGAAGCTCATTTGGGGAAACTTTTGTCAGCTGCGCTTTGGCAAATGTCTTTGTGTCTCTGTGGGACTTCTTCCAAACTTCTAGAGTCATGCCAAGCTGGTTAGAGATTAATACGGACTAACAACAGCCATCGACGGGTAAAATGTTACGACGAGACCAGATTGACTTTGCAACCATCAATACATGATTTTTCACTTGCAAGGGGGGGGCGAGATTCTCTTTGTAAACCACTTTGAGGTCTCCCCCCAAAAAATCAGTGTATAAATGTCATGAAATAGCAAACAAACAAATGATTGAAAGATTCAGGACCACCCCCTTTATCATAAATGGAACTTGTTTGCTTGTTTTTGCATGTATGTGGCAGAAACCTCCCCTTCTGTGTGCTGCTTGTTGTTTCCTCCTGCACCACTAAAGGTAGCCTTATGAAACATGCTAATATATGAATATATGAATGCTAGGTAGTTTAACAGCCTTTTGGGGGTGGGAATAAACCTGTGATGGAAGTGAAGGTTTTAATTCAAAAGAACATTTTTTAAAAGGAAGAATTGAAAAAGGGTTTTTGATTCTGAAAGAGTTTTTAAAAGGAAAATTCGCGAAGGTAAGCTAATGTGTATGTTCTTGTTTAATTTTTGGGTAAATTCAGCCGCTTGACACCAGAGAGTATCTCTCCGCCTCCTACAAAAGATGCTGTTTCCTTTCCCATTTTGCTTCTGCAGTTTGTTGCTGCACATGGTAACACAGCTGGTTTTCAGAAATGGAGAATAAGGGTTTAGGGAGCACAGATTGCAAGCAAGGAAGGTAAAGGAGCGGAGGGAAGATACAGCGCAGTTAAAGGAGGAAGGCGAGAGAATTGCAGCTACAGGCTAACAGCAGATATGAAGCTTTGTACAGGGCAATATATTCCCCATTAAGCACCTTAACATGTTTTATTGCTTTCTGGACTTCACTGCAATGAAAGTCTGCATTTCCTCTCCAGTTGACGGTAACAGCCTAAGGATTACTACAGAAATGATTAGAACTCTTGTGCACAATATTCTCAGAATCATTTCTCCTCATCTGTGAGGCTTTTTCGGCCTTTGATATCACTCGCCTTTCCACGTTCTTTTCCTTCACTTGATTTGATAGCTGCTGCTGCTTCAATAAATTAGCAAGGAAAGTTTGACAAATGTGCTTTCCCCCCCGACTAGCTGGGAGCATCCTGAGTGGAAGGAGCCAACACACCTCTACTCTAGATTGCAGATTGATTTCCAAATCAATCATGCTACCTCATCTCTTCTTATACAGAAGAGCTCAGGGGTAGAATGCATACTTTGCAAACAGAAGTTCCTGGGTTCAATACCTGGCAATTCCAGTTGACGAGGTCTCAGAAAGCAAGAGGGGGATAAAACATCATTTAAACCAGTCGGCCCTCCAGATGTTTTCGGACTACAGTTCCTATCATCCCTGACCACTGGTCTTGCTAGCTAGGGATGATGAGTGTTGTAGTTCAAAAACAGCTGGAGACCCAAGTTTGGGGAACACTAATTTAAATTATTATCCAGTACAGTGGTGCCTCGCAAGACGAAAATAATTCGTTCTGCGAGTTTTTTCGTCTTGCGAATTTTTCGTCTTGCGAAGCACGGTTTCAAAAGAAGTTTTGGAAAAGCTTCAAAAATCACCAAAGTCTTCAAAAACCTCAAAAAAGGCTAGCACACCGCGTGCAACTGCACCTCTTCAAGCAATGCACCCTGGGTATTAACGGTTTTAAGAAAAAGGAAACAAACTTGCAAGACGTTTTCGTCTTGCAAAGCAAGCCCATAGGGAAATTGGTCTTGCGAAGCAACTCAAAAAACCAAAAACCCTTTCGTCTTGCGAGTTTTTCGTCTTGCAAGGCATTCGTCTTGCGAGGTACCACTGTACACCTTTAGTACACACATGTTCCCAGTGTAGCTAACTATGAAAAATAAAAGCAATGCAGTAAATCAAGGCGTGCCAAAGACCTTGGAGTGTTGTCTGATAGAGCAGATAGGACTGATCTAGATGGACCAACAGTGTGGCTGAGTATAAGGCAACTTCATATGATCAAAGAGAAGAACCCACCAAGCCAATGCAAAGCAGAAACATTCCAGTAGCATCTAGATTGATGCTGTAAGGTGCACAGCATAACACCGTGAGTCGCATGCCACTTTAGGAATGAGACAACACAATCATTCTCGTGCCTCATTTGTTTAAGTGAACATTTATTATTCTCGGCTGACAGTTACTTAACTGCAGTTTTTAGCAGCTCAACTTACATAATCCTCCTGGTGTTTTTTTTATGCTCAGCAAAACAGAATTCATCCATTTAGAGATGACAGACGAAGTAAATCAATTGAAGAGAGAGAAGAGGAGTATCAGAGGGTGAGGGAGAGAATATTTGCACAAGATGTGAGTAGTTGTTTTAATTGCCTCTTTAGTGCCATATCTTTATCAGTAGTCAGCCAGTAGCCTCCCACTCTGACACTGTGGCAAGATTGCACTTTGTGGCAGGAGACAGTGGAGGGGTGTGAATTGAGCGAGAGGGGGGGAAGTTTGATTATGGATTGATTTATTTTTTGCCCTTTTTTTAGGAGGACAGAAACGGAAATGATAGAAGAGTTATTAGATAAGATTAGCTCCAATAGGGCAGGCGTGCTGAACTTGGTTTCCTTTAATTTTTAAATCTTAGTGCATAGGAGTCATTCTGTAACACCCAGATGCAGAACATGGATTTAAATAGACATTTTCACCCACCATCTTGTTTCATTGATCCAGGAGTGTTTTTTTAAAAAAAATGTTGTTAGAACTATTCAAATGGGAGTGTGGAATAGTAAACGTGTGATCCAGCAGCCATTTTGGGGGATATATAAATCCATCATCTTACAACAGTCTTGGGATAAATGCCACGAGGTACTTCACTTACCATGTTTCTGCCAGATATGACTGTTCCCTTCTAGGGCTGACATTGAGGCAGCAGTTCTGTAAGTTGGAAGCAGAGGCCAACTCTCCTATGCTCATTGGCTGAGATCTTTGGTTTCAAGATCCTCTGCCCACCCTTTGAACAGTTTTGCAACTTAAAGAAAATGAAAATGCTTTATGAACTTTTAATTTAATGAATGCATAAGTTGTACTTAAACTAGAAAGAAAGAAAGCAAAACTGACAGACTATCTAAAAACAGGAGAAATATCTCAAGCAGAAGCCGATACGTTTTTAATTGCAGCATGAATTATCCCTGTAGAAAAATTCCCCGCAATGAGCTCCTATTTTTAGGCATATCTGTATGCACCCTTGCAGATCATGCCATCATTTGTGGATTTTGAAAGCTCAGTCCAAAAAGTAATCTCAAATGAACAAGCATTTAACAAAAATAGGAAGGGCAGTTTTGGTGGAAGGGTGGCTTCAGAAATATTTTGGGAGCTGGTGTTGGACTGAATCTAGTTTCTAAGGCTAAGTTCCTGTTGAATATTAGCTTGCAATGGATCCAAAGACTCTTCAGAAGGACAGCCACCCATCCCCATTGCAGTAATCCAACCTTGATGCAACTAAGGCACGCATTAATGTAAACAAGTCTGATTCCTCAGGAATGAGTGCAATTCACACTGCAGCCAAAGCTCAGCAAAAGCACCCTGCCCCCTGAACCTCCATAAGTGTTCCTAAGCTGTGAACCTAATTTTTCAGGGGGAGTCAAACCCCATCCATAAAATGCTAAACCCCTCTTCCAGAGTCTTCTTCCTGATCAGGAGCAGATACGTCTTGTCTGGACTGAACTGCAGTTTTATTTTTTTAGCTCCCATCCAACCCACTGCCTCCTTCAGGTACCAGTTCAGAACTGCAACTGCTTCATTGATATTAGATGAAAAAGAGAAAAGGGGCTGTGTATATTTCAGTGAAAATGCACCCCAGACTTTCAGACTACCATTCTCGGTGAGGGACAGAATCAGTCCCTGGCTGACACCATATAGTACACCAGTGACCAAGGTACCAAACGGAAAAACTCCCATCACCATCTTCTGGAACCAACCCCTGGGGAAGAACTGGAACCACTGCAAAGTAGCAACCTTCAAACCCATCTCTGTCAGATAGTTCAGAAGGATGCCATGGCCAATGGTACTGAATGCCACTAATATGTTCAGCAGGAGCAAAAGAGAAATGTCCTACCTCTCTGGTTCCTAGTGTAGATTCCGTACCAAGCAACCAAAGGTATTTCAGTCCCCAAACCAGACATGAACCCAGATTGAAATAAGTCTAGATCAGGGTGGTCCAACTTCTCATGCCAAGTGGGCCAGAAGAGTACTTCAACATGGAACTGACGGGCCGTGGGCCCACTGCATTGTCACATGGCGGGGGGAGCAAGGCAAACATTTGATGCCCCCCCAAGCCCTCACCCCAAGTCTTCCCATAGTTTGAAATCCTAGGCTAGATAGACAAATAGTTTGGTTCTGGTATGAGGCTGCCTCCTATGTACTTAAGAGTTTGGTTGTGTCATATAATTTCAGCTTGAGACCCAAGCTAGTTGTTACTCAGGTGAAAACTTAAAGTCTCCCAAACGTTCGTTATTTTAATGAAAATGAAAAACATAAGAAGTTTGTTTTTGAGCAGAGGAAAGCTGAGCTGAGTGGAAGGCTGCTTAACTCTTTCCTCCCATTTGTCTTCTCAAAATCACCTTCTCCAGTCCACTTTTCTCCAGACTTCTGCCCAACTCAGTTGCTTAGAGCATGGTGTTGGTAACTAAATACTTTTTGCCTTAAACATTCTGATGCCCATGCACTACTTCTTATGAGAGTCCTTTTCTTTTGTACCTATGTGCTTTCAAATTATAGTACATGCTAAAAGGTCACAGATTGTGCATCAGAAAAGTTAAAACCCAAATTAAATCTGTTTCTTGCAGTTATATTTTTGCTGCAATTTGTTTTCCTAGTTGGGAAATTTTGGCCCGCGTTTATCCTAAAACTTCGTTGAATTATTTTTTGGTCCAGATTTATTCTGATTGTTTTTTGCACTATTTATTGAATCCAATTTGAACTGCTGAGTTGGTGCCTTAGTCCAGTTTTCGATTTTTAAATGAGAGGCAGGCACTGAGTTTTTCAGCTGCTATGATTGGGAGTAGAAGATAATACTAGGCATTTAATAGGCATTTGGGATTTTCCATTCAGTAGAATCAAGAGAGCAGCTTGGTCTATTTTAGCCTGTATGAAAATGATGAAATTGTGACTAGATATTTTTCAAGATTAGCATTGCAGATACTTCTCCTCCAGTCTCTTATACATTCAGTTGATTATGAAATCAAACTAATCCCATTTCAACAACACATCAATAACTATCAGGATAGCTTTTGGGGGTTTTTGTTCAAAGTGTGCAGTAAAGTAAGCCAATCCCACCATCATTGTACAAATATTTATTCATTTAGATATAAACTAAAGCAAAAACATTTTTTCAGCCTACCAGGTAAGAGCACAAACATTTTAATCTTAGGCAGCCCAAACGTATAGCTACGGTAACCAATTACACCTTTGTAAAAATTCAATATAAAAGTATTGTCAAAGCAATAATTCTTTACAACCCTTCTGTGAGGGATAAATGAATATTGTAGTAGGTTTAGAAAAGGTATTTAATAAAGTATATTGTAGCTGTGGCATTCCCTTTCCTTTTGTGAAAGTTGGGCTGCAATGCTGATTTGAATCTAATATGCCACATTAGAAACATGTTTACAAATCAAAATTGCCCCCTCCAATGTAATGAATGATCACATGATGTCATGCTATTCAAATTAGAGGTGAATTAAATCTTATAACTAGGGCTGCCATTTCTGAATCTCCCAAAACAGAGCATTGTATATTATGCAAATCAAATATGCAGTTGAGCAAATTAGATTAATTATGCTACTGTTACTACTGTTTTCAGCTGGTGCGTCACCTCTTCTCATGCTGTATGCTGCAGAGGCAGTGAGGAAAGGGATATGGAAGTCCAATCAAATTTCACTGCCTGAGAAGTAGCATTTTTCATAGATCATCTGAGGGAGGGGGTAGCTGCCTCCGTCCTTCATTAACAGGAACATAAAACTGAAGACTAACAAAATATAAAAAGGGATATCACAACGCTGTTAAGGCGCGCTGTCAGATATCTGTGTTCTCTAATACCTGTCTCAAGTGTACCAGCAAGCCATATTTTGGTAACTCAGTGGTGGAGCACATGCTCTGCATGCAAACAGCCCAAAGTCCAGTCCACATTTCCAGACAAATGTTCAGGAGTGAACCTAACTAAGAATTTGCAAGAGCAGAATGGCTTCCGCTTGCACAACAGAATTTCCATTTACCTGCTCTGGATGGTTAGGGTGAGGGGAACCAGAGCAGATCTGAAGTTGGGGGGGATGCAAGGGAAGGAGAGGGAAGGGAAAATCCATTGCACAAGCAGAGGTTATTCCATTCATGCAATGACTTACCGTATTTTTCGCTCTATAAGACGCACCAGACCATAAGATGCACCTAGTTTTTGGAGGAGGAAAACAAGAAAAAAAAATTCTGAATCTCAGAAGCCAGCACAGCAAGAGGGATCTGGCTTATGGGGTAGCCTCTTGCTGTCCTGGCTTATGGGATAGCCGTGCACAGCCTCTCCCGGCCAGGGGGATGAAGGTTCCCCCTGACTGGAAGAGGCTGTGCATGGCTAAGCCAGAAGCCAGCACAGCAAGAGGGATCACTGCGCAGTGATCCCTCTTGCTGTCCTGGTTTATGGGATAGCTGCATGAAGCCTCTTCCGGGCAGCGGGAGGAAGGCTCCCCCAAGAGCTGCGCTCCCTTTAAAGAGCGTGCAGAGCATGTGTGCGGCTTTTGGGGGCTTTTCCCCGAGGAGGGAAAAGGGCAGCCCTTCTCCCTCCTCGGGGAAAAGCCCCCAAGAGCCGCACACACGCTCCACGGGGCTCTTTAAAGGGAGCACTGAGCAGAGCCTCCTTCCTGCATTCACTCCATAAGACACACACACATTTCCCCTTACTTTTTAGGAGGGGAAGAGTGCGTCTTATAGAGTGAAAAATACGGTACTTCAATACAACCCAGAAGCAGCAAGTGCTGGAGAGAAAACAATATTGGGCTATTTGAACTAATGGACTGACTCTGTAAAATGTGCAGCTGTGTATGACCACATGACATTCACGCCCTTCCCAAGTCATCCGCGTGCTGTCGTTCTACTGCCATTCCTCCTGCTTCGGAGAAGAAACTCTTTGTTTGGTGCTTAAGCATGGGACAACTTCCACTCATTTCAGGCACCTGTTTGTGGGTCAGTTCCCCTCCCTCCAGTTCTATATGAAATCTGTTTTGCTGTGGAGTACAGAGTAGATATTTTAATAGGTCCTTCCACATAGGATAGTATCTATTTGGACTTCTCGACCTTCTAGATTTTAAACAATAATTACTGCATCCATTAGGTATTCTCCAAAGCAAACTTCTACAACCTGCGGTATAATTGCAGAGATGAGGTTCACAACTGTAGCTGCCCAGGTCTGAATGTTTTAACCCACAACAATAACTTTTCTAAACCCCCCTTTTAAAAAAAAGCCCCACCAAGAACAAAATCTGGTCTAGGTGGGGTGTTGGGTGCCTGCAATCTGGAACATCTCCAGGCAATCTGGATATAGCAGTTGCAAAAGTTCACACTTCATGGATGCAAATATACAGCTCTTGTTCCAGCTCCAACTCACCACGGGGATGATGAAAGGAATCAATAACCATTAGATAGCTTGTGCTAAAGTGTCAATGTTTGCTAAATATATATGACCCTGTATCCATGCTATTTTCCTAGAAAAAGAGGTGCGGTAGCTCACCATGAACAACTCCCTTGTGCTGGAACTGAGTTCCAGTGAGTTCCATCTGAAAGAAAAGTCCTGCCCTGTGTTTATATTACATTTGCCAATATAGACCCTGAAACTGGCAGTGAGATATCTCGATTAAGGACAGCAGAGCAGAAATTACATACAGCAGCTTTTTCATTTCATTTTAATTGGAAATTTGCAATGAATAAATTATGAACATGAATAACACCACCGTAGCAACTTCCCTTGTTTTTTTAATTATAAATTGTGTTTAATTTATGCTGTCCCCACCCTTCTGATACGCCTCAAATATCTGCTTTGGCATCAGTACAAGCAGATGCTGTCAGGAGAAAACTGAACAGATTGGCAGCTGTGTAAACAGAGAGGCCTGGCTTGCTAAACAGAAGATACAGGGGTGGGTGATGAAGAACTGCAGAAGAAACATACAAAGGACACTCTTTTGCAAGGAGGGAAATAGGCAAGAGTAGCATTCTGATTTTTCAGCAGAGGTTGTGTGACACAAAACTCTCAGTTATTAAATGTGTGCGCACACGTTTCTCATGAGTGTCCTATCACGGAATGTGTAAATTTATTTTATAAATATGTAACACTTCAATACCTCTTAAGGAAAGCCTTTATTACTCTGCTATTATTGCTTAAATGTACAGCCATGGCACATCATCACAGCACTATTAGAAGGCAATATTAATAAGATCTATTCCCATTCTTTCCATCAGAATCTTGCTGTACTGGCCCGTCTTGGTTTTGTTAATCAGTAGTCACATTTGAGAGCAGCATCCAGACACGGCCTTCTTTCAGAAGGATGCTACATTTTATCATGGAGTGCCCACCATACTTCTCATGCAGTATCTATTGACAGACCAATCCTCCATGAAATTATCTATTTATTTTGTTTAATCGAACATGTAATAAATTTGATGTTGTTTAGGATTTTTTGTGAATAAATACATACCTTGAGCAGAGTAATGGAGCAGTCACACGAACGATTTAAAACACAGTTCAGTTAAGTAATATGAGTGAATGTGGTCTCCAGAAGAAGGAAGGATCAAGTCAGAGAGAGTGAGAGCACGAGAGCACATTCACAAAGGGAAAACAAGAACAAGCAAAGGCCAAGGAAGTGATAGGGAGGAGGGACAGGCTACTTATTTGTGAGTTTGGAGCAGAGATGTCCATACCATTCTGGCAATCCACCTTGTCCCAGTTTCATTCAGATGGATAGATAGATAGACAGACGCATACACACACTATATACCATAATAAACATATTAGAGGGTTGTGCTTAAGCCTCACTGAAATCAATGGAGTTTAAGCCATGGCCAACTTGATTCATCAATTTTGGTGGGATCCAGCTAAGTCTGGATCCAGGTAATAATTTTTTTAAATCATTACCTCTAGATTTGTGATAGCTGCAAGTTCAGAATCTTGATTTTACGATACATATAAGCACTTTTCTGTTGTCCCCCCCCCCATGTAGCTACTGCTGCACAAGTCGGAGGGGGCCAACATGCCACCATCACCCATGCCCCCATTGCCAAAGTATTGGGGCTGACCTTCTGTGGTGGGTAGTAACAGATAGACTCCCTGTATAAGGTAGGATCCTACAAGATCAGGGTTCTAAGTCCCATAGGGCACCTGTTCAAGTATAGCAGGTTTCCTGACAGAGTTGTTCAGGCTGCAGCACATGGGGTCCTGTGGCCCAAAGGATAGTAACTGGGGCATAGAGGAAGAGGCTTCCCCCATCCTCGCCTTCATACAGTGGTAATGATATTAGGGAAAGGAGGAGAGAATGACAAACTGAAAAGGGAATTGCTTACTTAAGCTACAGTTGAAGGCCACCTGAACCCCAGGTCCAAACTGAGTTCTTTATCCACACTGCTTTCTACATAGCCCCTGGTTATTGTCTGCACCACCCCCGCCCAAGCTCTTCTTAAGCCATTCAAATAGTTTCACAAGGTTATGTTAACGAAGCACTTGATTAGAGATAAAATAGCTTACACGTCTTCCAGAAATATTAACTCTATGGATTGGGAGGGAAATGGGAAATTAGTGTCAGAAGAAAAGACTTCTCATGGGGGATTGTAGGACATTTTCAGCATATAGAGATAGTTCAGCGGGACTTGAAGCAAATGCATTTATGCATTTGCCTACTGAGGTTTTTTGTCCTGCATTCCTTTAAATTTGTGATTGGCGGGCAAGTGAAACATTTAAAGGTAGTGTTAGCAATTGCTATGCTATGATAGCAGAAGCATTAAGCAAATGGAGCATTGCATATAAAAGAGCAAAGTGAAACTCAACATGATAATAGCTAACTTGCTTCCCCTAAAGCTTGTCAGCTCTTTCTTTCTTAAAGACAAAAACAGCAAGGGTAATGTAATAAACTGTGTCTGTCTTTTGTGCCACGGAGACCCACATCAGCTCTGATAAATGCATATTCCAGGAGATGGCATGGCCTCGTGCCAGCTTCTGCAGCATGGAAGATGAACGGAGCTATTATTGAGAGTTTATCCATAAGACTGTAATGCTGATCACACCGATACCCTTCAAGATACTGAAGAGGTAACAGTCATCTTACACTTTTCAATAACTATTTAGTGCTGTTTACCCTTATTCCTCACCTGAACAACAGCAATTTTCATAAGTTATGTTCCCTCCGCAAACTTGACCTCATATGCACATCTGAGTTCTTCTAGTCTTCTCTGACACAGATTTCTGAGCCGATGTTCACTTCATAATTTCCACATCCAGCATGTAGCGCAGAAACACAGACAACACACTAATACATTTACACAACTGACAACAAAACTATGGCCTCTCTGGAAATGAATGCCGTCAAAGGTGGAGAACTATATTGCATGTTTTTGTTTCATCTTAGGAAATACAAATTCGTTAATTAAACGAAATGGGCAGCTTAAGATAAGTAAAGCAGCAAAATGGGGGGAACTATTGGGGTTTCCCCCCACATGAACATATTTGTTATTCTCTCCATGCTGTAAACTATGTGTCCTTACAGCCTTGTTTCCTTGTGTGAAATTCGTGCGATCGACGCAGAACAGCAAACGAAAGTTTTAATGAGTCAGGCTCATATACTCCATGAGAGACCCTGTATTATTACATTGGGAGTTGGGATCATCATCACTATTACAGCTTGCAAATGAAATATCTGTTACTGTAAATTGCCACAGCCTCCTTGGCCTCAGCCAAGCAGCAGCTGAGTTTATGCAAAATGCTTCAGCCATATGTATTTCACGAGAGAAAACTAGAAATGAACATGGATGTCTGTGATTCATCACAACAGTTTTCGGAAGCCCCTTTCTGAACATCCTGTAAGGAAAAAAAGAAAATGAAAATGTACACAGTATCTGGACTTTCATAGCACTAGAATTTGATGTGGCTTATGATGTAATTTGAATCATCTGCAGTTTCATAGTTGTGGAAGCAATGGACCTGATCTATTCCTTGCTTCTCTCGCTCTCTGTCTCTTATTCATTTTCACTTCTTTTGTTTAAATTCACTGCAAGTTTGGCTGGGGTTTTTTTCTTTCTTTCCGAAAACATCTATTGTGCTCGTTATGAACAAAAAACAAATGGGAAATGCAGAGTCAAAGGCAATTTATTTTTTGTCAAATTATTTTCCATCCAGGACACGTTAAAGTACCATTAGCTTTCTTAAATTTGTTTCTTATAATTGAACCATGCAGGATTTAAAACTATTCTACCTGCTTCAGCTTCACTCACTCTTGTGTTTTATTAGCTCAGCATATTTTCCTTCCATTTGTCTCTCTTTGACTTCTTGGCTCCAGTCAAGAAGTTAGCTGTTCTTATGCCCCACCGAAACTGATAAATTAGTTGCAACATACCTGTTCCTCTGATTTCAGCAGGTTTTAAGCACTTCTAGATATCTTTGTTTGGGGATTGTTGCTTAAGCACTTCCTATACTTCTCAAAAAATATCTGAAACCTGTACTCCTCTGAACTCTTCTGCGATAAGAAATATTGATATATGGTTACCCCCACAAAAACAACCTGTTATGAATTCCTTGTTAACAATCGTTTGAGCATTCATTGTATCCATGATGCATGAATGTGGAAAGTAATTCTAGTTTCAACCTGGAAAACTCGGATGTGAGGGTTACCTTGTTTACCAACCAAAATGCTTTTTTATTTGTTTGTTTGTTTTGTCTTCCAGTCAGTTTGCTCCCAGGAAAACATTTTTCTGGATAACAGGTAAAAATGTGCATATGCATTATATATATATTGGGTTATTTACTTGTTTGGCATATTTTAGACAGGCCTTCAACGTGAGTTCTCAAGGTAGTATGCAAATATTGCAGTGAAAAAACAGCATAAGCCACAAAATGATCTAATTCACAGGTCAGCCACAAAATAGCAGCAACGCCAAAGTCACAATAAAGGGGAACTGTCCAACTAACTCTTACGTCCCCCAAAGCCAGATGAAACAGATATGCTTTTAAGAGACGTCAAAAAGATGTCAACATGAGATACAAATGTATCTCTAATGGAAGGGAGTTCCGTAACCAAATAGGCCATTCTACAAGTCGCCGTGGAATGTGCTGTGGTTATGGATGAAATTATCAGCAGAATTTAAGGCATGTGTTGGCAAGTAATGGGAGAGGCATTCCTCCTATGACCTGGGTCTCAAGCAACAGTTGTGGAGTTCAGCCCAGAATGATCCCACTGGTATTAAAAGCCTTTCCCCTGCAGCCTTCCATGCCGCCTCCTGGAAGAGATTAGGGGGTGGTCATCGAGTCTTCATGGGTAGGGGAAACAAATGAAAATTACTTCTTCACCCTTTTCTCTCAGTGGGATTCCTCCAATACATCAGGAGCCTTCCACAGATAGAAGCATTCCTTCTATTCATGGGAGGCGAAATCTGGACCCAAGTCACTATGTTTTAATAGCCGCAATTTGTATTCTAATGCTACTTTGGCTGAGGGATCAGTTAATTTGTCCCAACTTAAAGTAGCTAGCATGGAGTAGATCAGGCATAGGCAAACTCGGCCTTCCAGATGTTTTGAGACTACAGTTCCCATCATCCCTGACCACTGGTCCTGTTAGCTAGGGATGATGGGAGTTGTAGTCCCAAAACATCTGGAGGGCCAAGTTTGCCTCTGCCTGGAGTATACGCAAGCATTAGAGCAGAGGAATACATAGCATTTGGCAGAGGTTTTCAGTTTAAATATAAGCGAAGGGGTATTAAAATGATATATCATTAAATTGATGGGATGCACTTAAGTCACTAATTTCTTAGGTGTGTTATGTATTATATTAGTGATTAAAAACAAACAAATGCACACACACACACACACACACACACACTGGGGAAATGTCACTAGTTTTTACCGAATATCCAAGGCTGTCGCAAGACATCATAGTGACTGAATTAGAAAATCCAAATGGCTCTTCTCTCATTCCACTAATTAATGCGAGGAAGAATTCACTAGGAAGGTCTCCAGTGCAAGGAAACGTCACTGGAATAAATGGGAACTTCACAAATGGACAGCCTCAAGGGTTTGATCTGGATCTCTCCCACCCTTAATGACAGGTAAAATCTGCCACCGATGGTGGCCATTTCACCTTAAAACAGCATACAGTATGTGAATATTCTGAGTTTCAGAGGAGAGATCATGCTGTCTTTCTCAGATATATAAATGCTCTTGACTTGTGGTAAATGGAATTATTCTGGCTGCAATTACATTACTGGAAAATAATGAGTGTCTTAATGTTATCACAGCCTACTCTAGTGTCACATTACAGAGTGATGCACTACCATAAATATATATATTTTTATAGCAAACATGTTGCAACCAATGCAAAAATAATTTATAGAAAAGGGGCTGCCATTCAGTGTGCACAGATCAATATCAAAGAAGAGAGTCCAAAATCATCCTTATGGCTACTGCACTAAAGCTGTTGTGCCTTTTACTGCAGTCTTATTTAAAAAATAAGGAGCGTGATAAAAAAATATGGCTATAACAGCTGAAGCATCGAGTTAAATCCAAGTTTTTAAAATGCCCTATTTTTAAATGTGTTTCCTTCCTTTTCATTTTCATCAGGCTCTTGGAGGATAGCATATGCAATGAAACCCTTAAGAAAAGGCAGCTCTTCAGGTATGCACAATACAGATCATTAAAGATATATTTGTAATTTTGCATTGTTTAAATGTTTAGCTTTGACCTCAGAGTGGGCTATGGCATTAACAAAACCTAAATGAAACCATTGAAAATATTCAGATAATCTTCAGAAGATCCCAAATTGATCCTCCACACCACACCCAGCTCCTCTCCTGGAAACGTCATATCCAGCAAAGCTTTCAGAAGCATCTCAAGATTGAGTCTTAAATTAGTCTCCAAAGGGACAGAGTTACACAGTTGATTTTATATATATGGATCTAGTTTATAGATAGTTTACCCAGTTGTGGTTGAGACTGTCAGTTGACTTTAGGGATCATGGCAGGACAAAGGGGAGAGAAGGTTTTAGTTTTATAAGTAACTAGGGAGTCATTTCACCATGGTGACATGAAATTTCAGCATCTGTTATTGAAATCTCTAAATATGTTGGTGAAATCAGAGAAACAGCCCAGGATTTGTGCTGATTTCATATCTGCACCCCCTTCTACCCTGTTTTTATTTGTTTATGTTTAGTATTTTTAATACAGTGGTACCTTGGTTTACAAACTTAATCCGTTCTGGAAGTCCATTCTTAAGCCAAAGTGTTCTTAAAGCAAGGCGTGCTTTCCCATAGCAGCAGGGGACTCAATTTACAAATGGAACACACTCAGCAGGAAGTGGAACATGTTCTGCTTCCAAGGCAAATCAAAACACCTACTTCCAGGTTTGCAGCGTTCTTAATCCAAGTCGTTCATAAACTAAGCTCTTCTTAAACCAAGGTAAACATCACGATAATCCTATATATCACAATGTCTGAAATAAAGATGGAGCTATGTAGAAGCACTGGGTGGCTTCATGGTTTTTCCCACATTGTGATTTTTGCATAGTGCGTGCACACATCATGATTCACAATATATTGCCAGGTAAACAATTATGAAACCGATATCACAATATGGACTTCAAACCAGTTTTGGATTATATATCATCCAGCCTTAATGCATACAGGAGCTCTTTGTGTACACTGGAACCTCCTGTAAGTGGGATGGATCTCTGGATCTAGATTTGTGTGCTTAACAAAAGGAACATTATAGCCAGGCTTCCCTGAGTATTTAAAAGGCAATTACACTGCAATGCTGAATTAAAAAAAACCCCAAAACTGCTCTCCTCTGATTTGAGATGCACCTTCTGCTGCTAGCATGTGGCAGCAACAAATATGAGACCCTTAAGAAGAAAATAGTTTTAATTATTATGTTTTAGAGGTAAAGGGTCCTATTTTAAGCTGAGTGAGTTGAATGTACTTGGTGCATATGATATTCAGTCTCCTTCTCTGTGCCTCAAATTGAAAAACAGCAAACACGGTACAGAAATGTAAGCCTCAGCTACATGTGGTGAACTGTAACGTTTACTGGATATGCCTATTAGAAGGTAAGGGTGTAGTTTTGTTTTCTAATGTGTAAGTATGAAGTTCCGGGTAACAATTTGAGAAATGGCACACTCCCTATTTTGTGGAGGGTTTGGTATTGGATACAATACCATATACTTAGTCACCGTTTGCATTCAATGAGCATATTTTGCTGATTTCTTCACAAACGGTTCAAGAAAACAACTTCTATATTAAGGAGCTCAGAGAAATACTAATAGATGCTTGAGTTCCAGGAGCATTGTCATAAGTGTCACACTAGGAAATACGAATAGACGAAGGGAATGTTCGTAGAAGTTGTACAGAGCACATGAGGCCTGAAGGCAATTATGTGAGGAGTGGATAAATAGGCATGTTACTGAAGAGGGTAAGAGCAAAGGGCAACTCAAAGTTTAATAAGAAAGGATAATTATAGCAAAGCAGAATTAAGAGGTTTAAGATTACAGCAAGAATCTAGTTGATGGGCTATAGAAGAAGAGAGAGCCACTGAAGGGCTCAGTACAAGTGCGTGGTGAAATATCCTGAAAGGAGTTGAAAGAAAATATATTTGAAAAATTCCAATTTGGCCCAGGACAAACATGGAAGTACGTAATATGTGTGAATACATTTAATGTGTCTGTACTGAGGGACCTAGCAGGACAGCAGCGGACAAGAAAGGGTATTTAACTTTGCCCTCCCATGCAATGTCCTCCACTCAAAGCTGTGTTTCCCACCAAAGTGGGGCCAATAGTAGCTTCAGGGGAAGCATTTTATTTGAATTACTGCACCTAGAAAGTGGTTAAATACCCTTCCCCACCCAATATACCACATTTCCTCCCCCCCAGTTGTTATTTTTAAAAAACAACAACAAAGCACATTAAACACATTCACACATTTAATGGTTCAACCAGTTTGGCCCTCAGAATGGCAGTTTTTGACAACAAAGATGAGGGTGGAAGGAAGGTTTTAGGGGTGTCTAGTAGTGACATGTAGCACTCAGGTACAGAGGTGGACTATCACTGCTATGTGTATTATTTTTTGCAAGTGCTTTTGTGGAATGTGGAATGTGGAACTTGAATTAATTGAAACCGAAGTGAAAGTAGGTTTCATGGGAGAAGTGTCAAACTACAGGGAAGTGTAAAGTACACCTGTAAAAAAAAAGGCCTGCCTCTCTGATTGCATGGTTGTGTTGTTAGCTGATTATGAAATGCAGAACGCGGTGTTAATTCTATAGGCTTCTAAATTGTGCAAAGAGAGTGAAGATGCAACTATTATTAAAATATCTATCAGAGGAATGTGGTGCTCTCCAGATGCTGTGGACCACAGCTCCCATCCTCCCAAATCACTGGTCATGTTGACTGGGAGTTGTAGTTCAAAACATCCAGTTGCATCGCATCCTGCTGTTCTTTCAGCATAAATGGGTTTGTGCCCTCAGATTTGCTCTTGCAGTTCAAACTCGGCAAAGAAGTTTGTTGGGCTTCTTGCTAAAGCATGCATAACAGCAAAGGCAAAGATAAAATTTTGACCTACTTTTCCTCCTGCACATCTTGTTATCCCTCAGCTGAACACAGCCCAGCGGCCCTTTGCAGCAGCCCACGAATCACTCAATAAATATCCTGAATTTTTTGCTTGTGTGTACAGTGGTGCCTCACAAGACGAAATTTATCCGTTCCGTGAGACTCTTCGTCTTGCGGTTTTTTCGTCTTGCGAAGCACGGCTATTAGCGGCTATTAGCGGCTTAGCGGCTTAGCAGCTATTAACGGCTTAGCGGCTTTAAGAAAAAGGAAACAAACTTGCAAGAACTCGCAAGACGTTTTGTCTTGCGAAGCAAGCCCATAGGGAAATTCGTCTTGCGAAGCACCTCAAAAAACGGAAAACTCTTTCGTCTAGCGAGTTTTTCATCTTGCGAGGCATTCGTCTTGCGGGGCACCACTGTATTCTCATGTGTGTACCAACCTCAGCAGTTCTTATTCAGATTTGCAGCAGCTTGAGCAAAAATGGATTCTGGCCTGATCCATTTGTTTTTGTATCTCCCCTCCCCACTTTTGCATGGTAGGGGTAACAGGGATAGTACGGGGAAGACATCTGGCAGCCGGCAAAGCAGCACTGATAATGAGCTAAAATGGGCAGACCACCAGAGGCCCTGGAGCAGCACAGACTCAGACAGCTCCAATCGCAATTTGAAGCCAGCCATAACAAAGACAGCAAGTTTTGGTGGAATAACTGTTCTGACAAGAGGAGACAGCTCATCAAGCAACAGGAGTACCGGCAAACTGTCTAAAACAGGTAGCTAGTACTGTATTGGGTTTGTCAGAAGGCTTCTCTGCTAAGAGGATGGGTGTTCTGCATGACTGTTCTGCATCTGAGCTGGCTGCAGTAAATATGCTAGCGCTGCGTCTTTCACCTTCATTCGTGGGTGCAATGCCAACTTCTCCAGGGTTTTTATAATTAGTGGGTAAAATGGATTTAAGAAACCTGGCCAAAAAGGGCACAAAACATACAGGTTCCATTAGTCTCTTTCCATGAGAGCCAGTGTGGTGTAGTGGTTAAGAGCGGTGGACTCGTAATCTGGTGAACCGGGTTCGATTCCCCGCTCCTCCACCTGCAGCTGCTGGGTGACCTTGGGCTAGTCACACTTCTTTGAAGTCTCTCAGCCCCACTCACCTCACAGAGTGTTTGTTGTGGGGGAGGAAGGGAAAGGAGAATGTTAGCCGCTTTGAGACTCCTTAGGGCAGTGATAAAGCGGGATATCAAATCCAAACTCTATGTGAAATGGGATGCATGCAATGTGCACTCGGTGTTCACATGTTGTTTTAATTTCTCATTCTGGAAGCGCAAATAAAAAGAAAGCGTAGTTTTGATTTTAACTCTGGCTGTGATTTGGAGATGGATCTACTAATTTTGTACACAGGAAGCAAAGAGGCTTCTTTAGCTGCAATGTTACATGTGCTTTTAAGCATATGATCTTAAAGGAAATACATATTAAATTGGAATTAAATCTGTTCTTCGTGTACATTGTATACAAAGAATACACCACAGCTTTACCTCTTTAGCCTCAGCTGCCCAAAGCCGGATATAATAGATATGTTTTAATACTTTTCTACAAGATGCTTAAGTTCAGGATTCAGTGGCCCTCAGGTCAAACGAAATCTACAGTTGTGGGATGGAAGGGCATGTATAGGTTCAAGGTTTGTGCTCATAAGAATACTCTGTAATTTATAGGGTGTAATCCTTAATAATGCCATGCCTACAAATTGATTTTAGCATTTACTGCTTTTCACTTTCTGAGGGCTGTACGGACACAAACTTAAACTTGGTTTACCAAACCTTTGTTAGCAATAGCTCACTAAACTCCGACATATTGCAGAATGTTCTTTACTGTGCTTCAGATTTTGTTACTTGTTCAGTGGAGAGCTGTCAGTAAATTGAGTGGAAGAAGAGTGTCCACTGAGATATGTAGATCATATTATGATACAAGGGAGCAATCAGTTGAACTCCCACCAGTTCAAATGCAACACAGGAGAATCTAAAAATGAGTTTTTGCTCATAGGTCCATAAGCTGGAAGAAACGCATTAGTTCCCCCACCTGCCTCTTTTTCAAACAAATGTTCTGGGTCATACGCGGAATACAAAGGATCTCATTCCTTTGTGGGGGAACCTGGGGGAACCAAGCAAAGTTAATTAAGCTTCATTAATATGCAATTTTATCTTCGGAATCGCTGCCTCTTCTCATCTTATGGTGTGTCCATGCTTTGCAACCATCAGGGCTGATGCCAGTGCCCTTACCTAATGACCTTCGCAAGCAGGCTTGGTGCAGGGTTTTATGGGCCCTTGAGCACGGGGTGTTTGTGGCTCCTTTATAGTGCAGCTCTACTCCATCCTTTCACACATACACCCCACAATTGTTGTGCACACAATTTTTAGCCCTAGCAGTGCTGGTGGGGTAAAACAAGCATGAAAGAATCGCTGCCCTGCTTTCTCCCACACACATTTCAGCAGGAGATCATCTTTGAGCCCCTTGCAATGAAACAGGTGTCCTTTAAGTCCCTGAATAATTGTAGGGTCAAAAGTGCTGCCTCCTCTCATACCTGGAGTCATCTTCAGAAGCCCTTTTCCAGATGTCCCCATCAAATGAGGGGCAAATGAGCTTTCCACTCTCCCTGCTGCACCACTCCCCCTAGGAAATGAGAGGTGATCACAGAGGCTCCTGCAACATCACAGCTGCTTCTAGGGCGATCTCCCTTTTCCCTTTTCCCACTTCATTTCAACTGTTGCCAGTTACTTTTCCCATTAAGGAATGAGAGATCTTCTCAGTTGGCAGTGGGCTGTTGGCAAAACCACTGGCCAGCCCATGCCATATCCAAAGCTGAGGCCTGTCCTGGCCATAACCTCTGCTTCTTACAAGAGTTTGAAGGGGAAAATAAATACTCCCTCTTTGACCTTACATGGCATAAGGCCCAAGCCTTATTCCAACCTTAGGCTGGCAGCACAGGCAGCAGAAAGGATTAACCAGACTCCCAAGTGCATGAGCAGTTTTCTGAAAGTTGGGGAGCCTTGTGTTCCCAGAGCCTTAAAACTTGTAGGAATCAGCTGCTCCTTGATGTAGTATGGTGTGATAGACTAAAACACCATTGTTTTTCATCCAGATATGAACTGCTAGTGTGAGAAGTCCAAATTTTCTTTCTTTTCTTTTTCTCTTTGCACATCCAGGAAAAGTTGAGGTGAACGTTCCTAAACAAACCTCTGATCATTCAGTTAACTTCCCCTGTAGTGACTAAATCATTAATATTTGGAGTGGAAGAGCAGGTTACACTTTTTGAATGGGCTTTGCACAGTCATTCATGATCCAAGTTATTAGCTTGGCATAAAAGCTATGCCAACCAGCCACATGTTGCATTTTTTTTAATAAAGTACATCGTCTTTTTTAAAAAAAATATTGATATAATAATAAAAGTAACATTCTTCAGTTTTTAGAAGCTAACTAAAATTAAATTTCTGAAAATGTTGACTACCATATACAAGTTCTGATAATGTTCTGTGCTTTAGATGCAGCAGCACAGTGAATTCTAACAAGTTATCGATCCGCAGGTTCACACTTAGAATTACTTTACTTTCAAAAGACATTATTAATAGTAGTGATGTAGCATCATCCATCACTGACATTCATTCACATTCCCTACATCCAGGATTGACAGGAAGTTCCAAGGGCAGCATTTTACAGCATCTCTTTTCTTGTTACTTAAGAAACAAGTAAGCACTTTTTGTTGTTTCTCCAAGAGCTTGGTTGAAGAATTTTCTCTTTCTTTCTTTCTTTCGTATGCCACCTTGGGCTTGATATTGGAGGAAAGGTGGAATGGAAGTCTAGCAAATAATGCATACATACTGGAAATTTTTGGCACTCTTTTAGTATGTGTTTATTCCTGCCCTTTTGTCCAGAAGGCAGTCTGTGACATCAAGGAATGGGGATCCCTGCCTTATGGGCCAAAGCTTGTTAGGCTTGTTAGGCTTGAGGTCTACTCCAAAATCTAGGTTCCAAGGGATCCAAGCTGGAGTGACTGCCATTTCTGCATGGTTTGAGACAGTATCAGTGGAAAGCCCTCATCACAGAGAGTTTCTGCTCCCTTTGTAAGGGAAGCTGCGGGAGGTTATCTCTAGAAGTGATTTGTAGGACTGCATCATGAGCTTTGGTCCACACAGAATCATAGAATGATCTTTAAAAGGAGGATTTAATGATGTGACTTTTGAATACAGAATTCTGCAGTAAGTTTCTGATACTTTTAAGATGTGTCCTCGTTTTACCAGTCCTATGAAATGAATATGCTTTTCTGAACCCCAGAATTAGGGACTGTTCTCTAGAGATAGGGAAGGGAAAAGGAACTTCCCACTTTTCCTTTTTTTAAAAATATAATTTTTATTAAGTTTTCCATATTTCATTACATTTCATAATCAAAAATCAAAGAATTTATAATTTAAAGCATTGCTTAAATTGATTAAAGTGGACCTGCCCACTTTTCCATGTGTCCTGAGGGCTGCCTGTGCATACAACTTTGCCTTGTCCAGGTCTGTACTTAGCCACATGTGGGTGAAGTAGGGGGTTCTTGCTTTTTCAGCTTCCATCTTGTTACCAAATATTTTCTTGCATTTAGGTATAGTTTATGGGCTTCTGCTGTCGGTTCTGATCTCTGAAGCCAGGTGTTGCTCTTTTTCTCCAGCCCAAAACAGAAACTCTTCTAGTGTTGGACACTTCCCTCTTGACACATTTAAGAATAGAAATTTATAAGATGTCCCTACTTGCAAGTTGAACAAAGGGAAGCAGGCAAGCACCCATATCGCTACATTTCCCTCCAAAATAGCAGCATATCCTTGGAGCCCCCAACCACAAGGCTCTTCTTGAAATCTAGCTGCAATAACTCAGACATCTATTCCATTTTAACTTCCAAATGATTTCCTTCCAGCTCACACTCCGGCAGATAGGACCTGTTAGCTACCAGGCATCCAAAGCCATCAATGCTCATTTAAGCAAGCATCTTCTAGCCATTAATACCCTCTGAAGAAACATCTTTAGCTGTTAACTATGCAAAAGGCTAAAGAAAATCCTTAATATCATTTTAAATTTGATTTATACATTTATATCTGACCTAAGCAAGAGTATTCTAGGTAGCTTATATAAAATACGGGAAACTGTGGTCAAAGTGCCTATTAGGCTAGCCAAACATTTAACCAACTGGTGCCTAAGATGCAGATTAATGTTGAACCACTCACAGGATCTTTCAGATTTAACAGCTCAACATCCTCCTCCCCTCTAATACTCCTAACCTGATCCAAAACACCCACCCACCCCACTCACACGTGAAAACAAAGATCACCACAGCCAATCACAAACAAGCAACCACACCCTAGGCCAACCCCAACCTCTCTCACCACCAAAGGAACACAAGTGAATAGCAGAGAACCTGCACAAGCGACGCTGACACAAAACCCCACATATATTAAGTAAAATAGAAATATTGCCACCCGACCCCACCCCCACCCATCTTCCCCTCTCCATCTCTTTCCCCCTTTTCTTCCTAATGTCTCAACAAATGAAACTGATCTGTAAAAAATATTACTTGGGGGGGGGGGAGAGAGAGAGACATTGCACATACTTTTGTAAACCAAGAAAATCTTTAATAAAAATACAAACAAAAAAAACAACGATCCATTCTCTCTGCACAGGGGTGGGCATGGCGCATGGGTTTTTATGTGCAGAAGATGGGTAGAAGCAGGATGAAGGGTGGAGTGAGCAGGTG